TCATGAACTCCGATGGTTGCAGTTTGAAAACTATCCTGCAGAATGCTTCATATTGTAATTGAAACGAAGCCAGACCATCGTCTTCGTAACACATGCTTCCGGTTCTCTTTCTTTTGTCGCACATGTAAATGTTGAACATGCCTATTGTATCCTGTCCAACGTCTCTGCTCCAAATAGTTTATCTCCGTTATGCCTTCTACTTATGAAACACATTTAACATCCATTGTCTTTGTATCCTTGTCCTTAAAGTCCGTTATATAACATAAGTAATATTAGCTCATGTCATCATCGCTATCTATGCCCGATGCCACAAATATGTCTTAAACTCAATATGACTAAGAATCTGTCTCGGTAAATTTGATCTCTGAAACCTCGTTTACTAGTCCTGTCAACTGTTACAAATAAAGGCAAGTTTATTTATGTGTACTTCTGTAATCAACATCTTATATCTTTTCATTTCTTCTTGGAATAAATCTCTTTCGGCTTTCATTTATTTTTAAACATATAATAAAATTATTATATATATATATTTTCTGTCATCCTTGTTCACACCTAAATAACCATTCTGTTCTGTTCTTGCCCTAGCCTCTGTTAGGTATCCTCTAAACTAGCTGTGGACTCCACATAATTAGCCCCCTTTTTTAAAAATACTTTATAGTTAGCCTTCGAAGTATACTGATGAACAAAAGCACGGGATTTAGGGATTTTGAGATGATACACTAGTTCAGTCATGATGTCATGAACTTACTCGCCCTGTTTATTGTCTGCATAACTTAACCATGATCTCAAACCCCTTGTGAAACCTTGTTCTAGAAATCAATATCAGTATCTCTTGCCCGCTACCAAACTCCCTGTAAAACCTTGTACCAAAAATCATATCAGTATATCTTGTCCGCTACCAAACTCCCTGTAAAACCTTGTACCAAAAATCATATCAGTATATCTTGCCCGCCACCGAACTCCTTGTAAAACATATCATTAATCTGCCCTCCAATATATTTCCCGCCTCTTGTCTGACTCAACCTTAGTAAACCTTTTTCCGATCATCTATTACTTCATATCCCAATCCAGTTTTCCCGCCCGTGTCAAATCAGAGATATTCCCCGAACCATCTAATTATTCAATGTCAACTAAATCCAGCCTGCTATTACTCGTCGAATCTCAATTACTCATCCTTGTCAAATAATCTGCTCATGATATCTGTTCCGTAAAGTCCCTTGTTAATCTATAATTTAAACCCATCGTAGCTTTTCCCATGTATAAGAAATAGTATAAATAGATGCTAGTTATTTATTAGAAAAACGTTATTCTGGATCTTAGTCCTAACCCCCTCCCCCTCTTAATAATAAACATATTTTATTTTAACCAATCGCCCCCCTCGTGTCGCCAAGTAGTTTCTGTGTCTTGTTCCTGTTCCGTCCGTGACACATGACGTCCATAACAAACTGTGTTTATTGTATCAGGCTTCAGACAAAACCCCTTTTGATGAAGTTACTTTGATATACATAATCTCCAAATTCATGGCTTTCACAATAACTACGGATGGGTGTGTTTTTCTGTGCATGTGTTATAACTTGATTTTGATTATGGTCATCTTTATGTCATAAAATGATACGTTTTCGGCTCAAGTTGATTTTACAAAACCTTACAGGTTTACACTAAACAAAATAAATTCATTTTATCTTTACTGCTCTCATGAAGATACAGTTAAAAGCGATGTTTCGCAAACGTATTACAGAGGAGGTACTCTAGTCTCCAGTTATTATTAGTATTTAAAAATATGAATAAAAGAGAGCCAATCCCAGAGAAACCAGATAAAATACTTGTATAAAATTGTTTTTTCTCAGACATAAAATATTTCAAAAATAACATATAATCGATAATATATTTAATGGGTATGACAGAAAGAATATAATTAAGGTTATTCATATTCTTTATTACATGGCGCAAGATTTTCAAATTCCAGAAACTGAAAATCACATACAAATTCGGGTTTCAAAGCTTAAGCTCAATTGTACATTGCGAACCTCCATTTTTGTATTTGATTTTTTTTTTTTTTTTTTTTTTACAATTTTGATTTACTATTTGGGATGTCCACAGTTTCATTGTCTGATGACGAGGCATCACAAAACAAATCCAGCTATTTTTGTATATACAACAATTGCTTTAGCATTTGTTGCTTAGTCTAATTACTTTTCTTCAACTACTTAAATTGAATTGTTTTAAAATCAAAATAATAAATTAAATCCCTGGAATAAGTACGAAACACAAGTTGCCCAACTGTAACTGCAATTCTCTAGTCCCTCGCAAGCACATGAAACTATTTTTTAAAGATTCCGATTGAGGACATTCGATTTTTATTTGTGAAAGGTTATATTTTTATAAATAGAATCTGTTAAAAGTTCAATAATAAATTGAAGGATTGAATATCTTCAGTGCTAAATCATCAAATTGTCCAAACGAAGAAGTAAAATCTGTATGCCCAAAAACCTTCTATCAGATTATTTAATGTCCAAATCCGACTTCTTTTTCAATAAGATCAATTTATTTTTATCGATTTTACTTTCTTTTCACCATCTCCATTTTATTTTACAGATATGAGTTTCCAAAATTATTTAAGTGCTGACTTCATCAATGGCCAACGCCCGCACCCTCTTGTGGTAAGAGGCCAACCCAGCGTTAACCCTCCGTCTGCTGCACAGATCAAACTGGCCTACGTGTACCTGTCCCATCCTATCGACCTGTACCTACACCTTCTTCTGTAATTGCAATTATCTTCTGAACATGTTTCTTCTGCTGGCCTTTTTCCTGCTACCGAGCAAGCTCCTCCTGCTGCTGCCGAACAAAAACATCGCTTTTAACTGTATCTTCATGAGAGCAGTAAAGGTAAAATAAATTTATTTTGTTTAGTGTAGACCTGTAAGGTTTTGTAAAATCAACTTGAGCCGCAAACGTATCATTTTATGACATAAAGATGACCATAATCAAAATCAAGTTATAACACATGCACAGAAAAACACACCCATCCGTATTTATTGGGAAAGCCATGAATTTGGAGATTATGTATATCAAAGTAACTTCATCAAATGGTATATAGTCTGAAGCGTGATACAATAAACAGAGTTTTCATGGACGTCATGACTGAACTAGTGTATTATCTCAAAATCCCTAAATCCCGTGTTTTTGTTCATCAGTAAACTTCGAAGGCTGACTATAGAGTATTTTTAAAAAAGGGGGCTAATTATGTGGAGTTCACGGCTAGTGTAGAGGATACCTAACAGAGGCTAGGGCAAGAACAGAACAGAATGGTTATTTAGGTGAGAACAAGGATGACAGAAATATATATATATATAATAGTTTTATTATATGTTTAAAAATAAATGAAAGCCGAAAAAGATCTATTCAAGAAGAAATGAAGATGTATAAGATCTTAATTACAGAAGTACACATAGATAAACTTGCCTTTATTTGTAACAGTTGACAGGACTAGTAGACGATGGTTCAGAGATCAAATTTACCGAGACAGAATCTTAGTCATATTGAGTTCAAGACATATTTGCGGCATCGGGCATAGATAGAGATGATGAGATGAGCTGGTATTACCTATGTTATCTAACGGACTTTAAGGACAAGGATACAAAGACAATGGATATTAAATGTGTTTCACAAGTAGAAGGTATAACGGAGATAAACTATTTGGAGCAGAGACGCTGGACAAGATGCAATAGTCATGTTCAACTTTTACATGTGCGACAAAAGAAAGAGAACAGGAAACATGTGTTACAAAGACGATGGTCTGGCTTCGTTTCAATGACAATATGAAGCATTTTGCAGGATAGTTCTCAAACCGCAACCATCGGAGTTCATGACCACAATACTATTTTACGTCTCGGCTATTGTATTAAGAATGGACACATGAACAATTATGCAGACACTATAAAGCAGAACGATAAGCGACATTTCAAGAATTGTTTGAAATAAAACTCTTTATTAAGAATAAAGGAAAGGTGGTAATTTTGTCTTGGGGAAGGAATAATGTTTTTGTCATAAGCACGTTGTGTTTATACGCGTTACTTTACATGGGAAGAACTAATATAGGTTTAAGCTATATAATTGGACGAAGCGGTTTGTTTTATTGGTACGATTAAGTAGTCAGAAGTTGATAATCCAAGATTGGCGAAATTTAATGGACATTGAGAAGGTCAATAATTTGAGAGAGCGAAAAGCCAGACCAAAATTAACGTGAACGATGCCTTTGACAAGATCCTTTGAAGCTGATATGGGATACTGACTTATAATTTAGTTCAATGTTGTATACGTTTTTTAAAGAGGGAGGTATTTACCTATGTAATGTTTGTTCCCAGCACTACAGGAGGTTTTGGGGAAGACCAGATATATCGCTTTGGTTTCTTTTACAGGGTATAAGGCCGTTCTCAGGATTTCAATCTTATCTTGTACCTAACAATTAGAACCAAAAAGTTATTCGTTTTGTAATGATTAATATATTATGCAGAGTACTTAACAAAAGCGGGAGCACCTGGTGAAGCAATCAATATGAAGGAGAGAACCGAAACGCGTTAGTCGCTTAAAATACTGATAGCAAACATAGGACTACCGAAAAAAAAAAAAAAGCCTATAAACTCTCAACGGACCTAAATCTACTTGAAGAGAGCGTTTGAACTATTCAGCAAATTAAGTAGCTAATACGTAGGATGGCAAAAAAGGCATTATTTGCTTAAAGTGCTTGCAACCAGCTTCGCATTACTAAGTACTACAGTCTATTAATTCTCAACGGACCAAAGTCGACTTGGAGAGAGTTTTCAAAGTATAACCGTTCGTCAGCGCATCCTTCAGCCCATACAAGTCTTACCAGATTACGCATTCCCCGATGGCAACAGCACATTAATCAATAAGCGTAGGAGTGATCCCTAGAATGAAGAAGAATTCAGAATGAGTAATTGTTATAATTGAAAGAAAGTTCGAGAGAAAAATTAAGTCAACAAATACCCCAGTTATTATCTAGCTCTAGAAAAACCCAGTCACACCTGAAAACCATTTTGGCTGAATCTTTCCTCAAATTTTCGTCCGATATAGACGGGCCTCCCGCTCCCCCAAGAATACGGCTAATAGTATTAAGCTTGAAAGCGCTAATATCTTAAAAAACAGTATGCTTGGTTTTTTTAAACAGCGCAATTTTTAAGGAGTGATAAAAAAATTGGGGGTGCGGGATGAACCCTTTCACCCAAGAATACAGCTCATAGTATTAACGTTGTCCCTTTATTTTTTTTAAAACATGGCAAATAATAGTGTGAATTGTGCATCCTATGGTCAAGAAGGTCATGGTCGTAGATCCCACCTAGATGTTCCTCTAAATACAGTAAATCTAAATACGAATGTAGTCATCTCTTCTTTTTTTTTTTTTTTTTTTTTTTTTTCTTTTTTTGAAAATACTGACTTTTTTTAGGTGCCATCATCATTGAATAACCATGACAATGCACTAAACAACCCAGCCTCAATCACTGTGGTACAGCAAAAAGAAAATTTTTTGTAAGCATTTTAACTAAGATTAATTCCAATAGGACATGGAGGTAGACGAACCTGAGTTCATTTCAAGTCATGAGCCAGTCCAAGAAAGAATAGTCCGCTGTTCAACATGTCAACAACTTGGGCATTTAAGAAAAACTAGCCTTTTGTGCCGCCAGAATTGTAATCGTGTCTACCAAACTATAAATCAAGCAAAGCAAACTAAAATAATGCCCAGTAGACATGGTTTGGGAAGGATGACCACTATGTGTTCTAACTGCAATGCATCCATGTGGGTCGAAAAAAGATCAGAAGCTGGTCTTGACCCAGGCAGGTTTCAACTCTGTTGTGGATTAGGTAAAGACAAAGTGACACCATTTACCCTACACCTGGACTTATATCCAACGTAATACGCGGAAATGATCAAAGAAGCAAGGCGTTTGAAGACACATACCGTCTTACAACAATACCTTAAGCTTTACGTTGCAGAGACCAGGTGCACCAAACCAGATTTTTGGTAATAAATGAATCCCCCTCTCACAATTTTTTAAACCGCACCAGCTATACTTTTTTTTCGATGAGTTCTTAAAAATCCTCAGATTAATATATACGTACCTTGGTTAATGGGATGGGCGACCTTTAGTGTCGGATAATCCGTTTGTTTATGTGACTTAACGCATATGAGTGACTTTATACTTATAGACGAATCCTTATCCAGTTGACGATAACTGAGATGGATCGGGCAATTTTTAGGTTTTAGTGTGTACCTGTTTTTTATTATTCGAATGAGTACGTATTTGCCTACTGACAGATACTCGTCTACTGCAGGTAAATGGAACAGACAAAGACAATTAGAATGCTATGCTATATTTTTGTTTTACTCAAAATGAATGGACAATAACTCTTGGGCTGTTTCCAAGTAAAATCTTCTTCATGTATCGGGAATAAATACTTTTCACTCAAAATAGTAGTTTTCTTTTTTTATTTTGCCAACCAAAATTTATGGGGGGGTTGAATATTTTACAAAAATGTAATAACAAGTGCGACATGACTTAAAACAATATCGCTAATTAATAAATTAGCATGTCTAATTTACTGGTTGTGTTGTGTTTTGAAGTAAGTAAAAATTATAAGGCAGTATGTAAGTAATTTGAGACTGTTTATAAGATTGTCTTTATTATGAAATAAAATGATCAAGTATTTATATAAAAAAGACTATCTGCTGTACCACTATCTTTAGTTTATCTTTGAAGTTGTTATTATTTTCCCAGTGTGTATCCTGTTACCTTTAACTGCTTATTTTGTAAATATGTTACACTTGGAATTACTGTCATCTTAGACACATTGTACTTCCATATCTTTAGTAATCCTTTGTCACTGTGTTCTTGTAACCTTGTGATATGATAGTACTAACTATCTATATTGGGTAATTGATTCCTTAATCATTCTTAATGTATTGATGTCATAGATATAGATTTATTTAATGTAGCAACAATATAGCAGATCACCACAGGTTGTATGTTGGCCACATGGTTATCCTGAATATAGTATAACTATAAGCTAGTAGGTACTGTATACTGGGAGAGCTATTTTTCTTCACAAATCCAACAGCTTTTTTTTTAAAACATAGATTGCTTGGGAACGGCCTGGACGGATATCTACTCTTTTTGAGTGAATGAAGTAAGTCTATTTTTGTATTAAATTGTTTATTTACCCAAAATAAATTGATAATCGCTCATGGGTGGTTATCCCCCCTGATTTGAATGGATGTTTATCCCCTGACGGCCATCCGCCCATCTGTCCCCTATTACTTGGTTTAATTAAGTTTTTTTTTTTGGCCTAGGGGTGTGTGGCAATATAGTGTCTTTCTTCTTTTTTTGTTGTTGTTGTTGATCCCTGAAATACGTCTATGTAACAAATAAGGTCTTCCTAAGCAGTGAATTATACCGGCCCAGTGTTTGTTTAAGGAATCAAATAATTTAATCAATTCCTATTTTCAGCAGTGAAATGATGAAATCTATTTTTAGTTTACGTTTTTCTGTGGCAATAAATCAATACTGTTCCATTTGTTTGTCAAGTTCAAATTTCAAAGACTCTTTACCCCTCTAATGAAATGACTATTTTAGATGATCTGCATAAAAAAACAAAAAAAACACTCAAATGGTTGATAGCGCTTAAAAATGTGTATTTATCAAAAAGAATGAGTTTACTTAACAAGTATTTCAAATTCATTCTGCCTGGTATCAGATATCGCTAAGTTTTTATAGCCATAGATCTTGAATAACATTTTTAAGAATTTTATTGTTCTTGTTACAATTGTTTATCTCAGGTGTCACTATTATAAAGGACTTGACATTGTACTACTTTTGGTGACAAATGCTGTAGAGTTTTATTCCCACAGTCACAATAGACATTTCTCATGTGTTTTCTTTCTTTTTGTTTCTATACCTTATTCCTTCCCCTTTTTTTTACCATCCTTGCTCATCCCTTTCTCATTCCTTTCCCATTCCTTTGTCATTCCTTTGCCATTCCTTTACATCTCTTCACCTTTTCTTTTCTTTTTTTGTCCTTCCCTTTTTTTTTCTTAATCCTAACCCATCCTTTTTCCCACCCTCCCCCTTATTTTCCCCTTTCACCCTATTCCTTCATTTACCCTTCCCCTTTTTACTTTCTTTTCCCCCCTTTTTTTTAGTTCACAATTGTTGCCAGGTTCATTCTACAACTCGGGAAGTGGGCCGAGGGTTGTCGGCTTCGGTGAGGGTACTTGATCGTCTTGCTTGTTCTGAAATGAAGGATTAAAGTGACCGTTCTTATCTGGTGAAACTGTCTCTTGCGGAAAGGGATTGGCGGTGTGGGTGTCCACGTACGGTGTCAAGGGATACTTCCTAGATTTGGTCAACTGCACTGAGTGCTTTCTGAAGAATGCTGGTGTCTGGTAAGCCATCCTTATTTATCCTTGTTTATGTATAAGAGCCAAATATTGACATATAATTTATTTTTAGGGATTACCTGCTTGCTTCCTTGTAGATGAAACCTGTGATATATTCACTTGTATGGGAGATCATACTGTATGGATACTTGTAGTCTTGTGGTGAAGCGGTCTTGTACTAGTACCGTATTGGGCGTGTGAGAGTATTTATGACTCTTCCCATAAGTGGATGCTGGCTAACTTTAACTTGAAAGGTAAGATTAGTTGGGGTTGGTTGAACATGAGGATCTGTTTATGTTTTCCTTTTCTACTAGATATTTCCCAAAGTGCTGGTTTCTCTTGGTCAAGGTATCTTACCGTCTTGTAATCTTCTGGAAACAACGCAAGGTCTTGTCTGTCTTCTGTCCAAGTTTCGGTTGGGTTCAAGTCTAGCACCACCAAAAAAAATATAAAAAAAAAACCAAAAAAAAAAGGCCTGGTGCCACCCTTCCTTTGCTCCTTCCGCTCCCTTCTGTTTCCTTTCCGCTTCTTTCTGGCCTGGTGCCACTCAAACTTTGTATATACTTTCCCTTTTGTAAATATCTCGCAAGCCTGGTGCCCAAGTCTTTTGTATATAAAAAATCCGCTGTAAATAGCCTGGGGGGACTGGTGCCCCCTACCTCATACTGTAAATATGTTATCTACTGGTTAGGTGCCAAAACTGTACATACATGGAGGCCTCGTGCCTCCGCCCCATACTGTATATATGATATTTACTTGTACTTTTTCTCTCCTGGCCTGGTGCCGGGAACCTTTGTTTATATTGGCGGCCTGGTGCTGTCCTCCGGACCCATTTGTACATATTTTACCTCCCACACTGTACATATAAAAAAAATTTAGAAAATCCAAGAAAAAAAAAAAAAAAAAAAAAAAAAAAAACCCGAAAAAAAAAAAAAAAATTAAAAACATTTTTAAAAAAAAAAAAAAGGAAAAATTCAAAAAAAAAGCAAAAAAAAAAAAAAAAGGTGTTGGACTTGGACTCGACTGAAATGAAGATGGAAGACTTTCAAGACTTTGTGTTGTTCCCATGAAGAATACAAGAGGGTAAATATCTTGAACAATTGAAACCAAATCCCAAGGCAATATCTGGTAGAAAAGGATGTAATTCACAAGCATTTCCAAGTGTTCGATCAGCTCCTTCTGGTCTTATCTTTCCTGTTAAAGCGCCAGTAATTGCTTATGGGTTGATGTCATGGGTACTCTCTTAAATTATGACCAAACGTGTGCTTTTACTTGTACCGTGGATCTCCAAGGCTACTTGTTGAAGTACGGTATGGTTGAACATGCAAGTGGAGTATATCATGGGGAGTAGTTTACTTGGTGGTAGGTAGGTATGAAAGGGCATTAGCATTTGGATGATTGCACTTGGTGTTAGGAGGCTGGGTCTAGGAGGTGTTCGTTGATATCTTGCGTGTCTATCGCCTACAGCGTCAGTTCTTTTCTGGTAAAAGCAGACAGCATTGGGTAATTACGTCGCGCCGTCCTTCCTTAATGGGTGTGAAGATTGGTCGGGATTCAAGCCAGGTTGATAATACTAAAGTTCGCGGAACTTGTTTAGGGTGCTCCTTGTAACGTTTTTATCCCCCGGTAAGTATAGCCCTTGTAAACTCCGTCACCATAGTATCTCGTTGTAAGTATCACCCTTTCACTGACCACACTAATTCCTTTCTCGTCGTAAGTATAGCCCTTCCACTCGCTTCTTCTATGTTTTCTTT